GCTGCTGCATACACTCTCCCTTTCCCTCCCACCTACATCACCCACCCACCTTCAGCTCTCCTATAAAGAAGTCCTCTGTGCCCCCAAAATATCCTAAGCTGGCACTCACTGTGCCCCTGAGCTTTCCTTAACAGGAACCGTGTCCCCAGAGCCAAGGTGGAATACTGTTGGGTCAGAGAATTTCAATCACAATGTTCAGTTCCCAGAGGTCCATGCACATGCCCTTCAGCAAGACATCAGGATGTTTATTTGGAATAGCCTGAGTTTTTAATGTTTGTGACAATTTTCCATTTGTTTAAAACACAGTGCCAACCAAACAAAACCCCTCAGATGGCCTGAGGCTACCATTTGTAGCACTCAAGGCTGGATCCAAAATAGCTGAGAGAGAGGAAGTCATTCTAAGCAAAGGAATTAGGGAACTGGCAGAGGCAAAGGCTTAATGGCTGGGGACAAAAATAGTGTGTGTCCAGGATGGCTGGATAGAGATGAAGTTTGGGGCAAGGATTCCTCAAATATCCAATGACAGCCGGAAGCCATTACAACAAATAATTTCTTTGTGACTAAGTCCCCCAGTCTGCACTTGGCTCTCTCCTTTTACATAATAAGTAGAACACACAAACTCTAACTCCCAGTGCTGGAGTATTTTTTACTGTGAAGGCACACTTACTGCACCTTTGCAGTTTAGACAGCATTCACACACATTTCTCTCTGGATGGCTCACCGCAGTCTAGGGGTTATTTTGCTCCCATTTTATTGATGACAAAACTGAGCCTCTGAAGGATGAAACAACTGGCCCAAGTTCATCCACAAACCTGACTCCTTGCTTAGTGCTCTGCCCTCCTCCTCTTGCACAGAAAGAAACTGATGCCTGGAACCCCACTACCCCACACCACATCCCATACCAATTCCTGGGCATTTGTGTTTCTGAATTTTCAGGGCCTGGCTGGCCTTGTCCAGCAATATTTGATCAAAGTGTATTAATTTTTAATATGCTAAATGGTGAGATGCCCTTTGATCTAACTTGAATCACCACCGTCATTTGTCTCTCACACCAGCCCCAGTTATTTCTGCTCCCCAAACTAGGCCTGTTAATTTTTAGCCAGAAGCCAGGGAGGCTATGCAAGTCCACTCCCGGGAAGAGGGCGACAGGTGGTCCTGATGGGCGGTTCCGCCTGTAGATCCTCAAAACACTGTCTTTGGATACAATGTATCAGAACTACCAGCTCCCAGCCTTCAGCCAAGTGAATCCTTGATTCACACGTGAGGAAACAGGCCCAGAGAGGAGAAACGGCTTGTCTGCAGTCACACAGCCCTTCTGCAGGGCCTAACCTCACTCGACGGTCCTCCTCCCTGTCTTAGTGAAATCCCGCCTATCCAGTCTTCCCTCTCCAGGAAGTAGTGATGAGTTACCCACACTGCCTCAAACTGGACAACAATAGTACGATATTCTCACCTGGTGCCAGACAAGCCAGATCCTAGAGGAGACATCCTACTGTGCCCCACCCTACTCCTGTGCAGAAAGCCCTGCTCTTGCCCACATTTTATAGATAGGGAAACTGAGGCACCAGGAGTCACTTAGCCAGAGTCACTCAGAACTGGGATTTGACATCTGAGTCCAAACCCCACCCAAGTCTTAGGGCTTGGTATCCCCAGCTCCAGCTCAGCTCACCTTCCCCTGAGAGAAAGAGGTGAGTGAGACCGTCTGACTACCATCTGCCACCTCAGCGTTCCAATATGAGTCTCAACACTCGAGGTTCCCGTCCTGGATTTATTTACTGGGGTGTTTGTTGTTGTGGAAGCTGCCTAACAATTTCTACCATGGAAACAGCCCTAGCAGAAAACACACATATTTTTATTTTGTGAGCTATTATTTCCAAAAAACAGAAGGGCTCACAGAAGCCTGTGGTGGGGCAGGGCAGGACACAACTGAGGAGAGTAGAGGAAATGAGAGAGAGGCTATTCTGCTCTGTCCCGGGACCCAGGATCTCAGTGTTGGGCCTGTGAATCCCCAGTGTGACCCAACCCCTGATCCACGGCCAGATTCCCAGAACTGGAGAACAATCACATTTTCAACTGATCACACTGTGGACTCCAGAACGTTTGAATCACAGACCCTCAGGAGATTCAGCAACTGGCCTCTCTCTGAGTCAGTCAGAAGGGGCCCAGGAAATGGACATGGGCTATCCCCACCCCCGCCGAACTCCCTAGTGAAGCTCTTTATTTACACCAAACTCTATGAGGAGCCCCAAAGTATGAACAGACCCCAGCAGGGCCACTTCAGGGTTTGCAGACCTTGGAACCCTGGATCCTTAGGACCCATTCATCCTATTGAGCTCCCCTATTGTCAAGATGGGGAAACTGAGTCTCAGAGAAAGGAATTGGGTGGCCAAAGGCACAGCAAACTGCTACAAAAGGCCAATGTTGACTGGCCATAGCCCCCTTCCTCCAAGGCCCACCGGCCTTTTCAGTTCTCCTTTCTTCCCTTTGTTAAAACCCACTCCCAGGAAAAAGCCTGAAACTCACTCACACCAATGTATCCAGAACTGATGATGGCTTTCCCTCTCAGGGAATCCAAAGGAACTGGTACTTTTAGTTAAAGAAATGAAGCCCAAGTAGAAGAATTTCAGACATTTGCTGTGGATAGAAATGGACAAAAGAGAAAAGACAAGGAACCTTCCTTCAGTTCCTAGGATCACACTACATCATGTGTGATTGGAACAGGGCTGACCTGGGTTCTCGGGGCCAAGGAGCTTCCCCAAGGCAGCAGCTTGATCTCGTGAGTGCCTCAGTCTACCCATCTGTAAAATGGCCATAACCCAACTCTGGAATCCCTCATTCTCAGTGCACAAGCAGGACATTGGATCTGCAGAACTTACCTACACTAATAGGCAAGGTGGGTGTAGGAGCTATCCCTGGGCTATCCTGTAGGGTCCCAACCACTCTGGCACTTGGACACTCCCAATGAAGATCTCATTGTCAGCATTAGAGGAGCCTCAGCACCTAAGCCCCAGATGGGGACATGACCATCTCCCTGCACCCCTGAACCATAGACTGCTGGGCTCCCAGAACCACTGAGCTTTTATATCCATGCACCACTGGACTCTCCCCTTCACATCACTCTACCTAGCACCCAGCACAGCCTGGGCCCACAGTGGAGGTTCACGAAATGTGCATTGAATCAATGGGTGGATGAATGAATGAGCCGACAAATGACAGACTGCTAGAATCCCATAACTATGTGACATTAGACCACATGTTCCCATAACTGTAACAGCAGAAAGTTTCATCACTCTAACCCCAGCATGCTAACAATGGTGTCATTCTAGGGATCCCTCTGGAGTCCCCCTTCTCACAGGTGGACTGAGGCAGAGGTCTGATGAGGTGTGTTCCTCCTTCTCCCCTCCCAGTCCACCCCTCAGCTTTCTTCATTAAACCATAGGTGATCTGCAGTTAGGCTGGCCTCAGGGACAAGATTGACATTGCCCAGCTCCAGGGGACTATTTGTTCTGCATTTTCCACAATTGACATCCTAGGCCAGGCTCATAACACTTGAGCATGTCACCTTCATCCAGTGGGCGGGAGGATTCTAAGGTGGTTGGTGGCTTCAAGTGCCAGGCCCTGAGGGAAAGAATTGGTCCTTTCCCCAAGGCACAGGTGGGACATAAACCCCAAAACAGGTAAGTCCTGCTGTGGTCAAGGACATGCTAGAGGTGACAGCTGGGAGATGCAGTCTGCCTGGGGTAGAAAGGAAGGCCTCACAGCAGAGGGGCCCTGAGAATGGCCTCACTAGCATAGATGGAAGGAAAGGCTTTTCCTAGCTCACTGAACAGCATGAGCAAGGCAGGAAGTGTACCAGGTCACTGGTTAGGAAAAAATTAAATGACATGCCAGGGATTTGGGGTGACACAGTGTAGCATCAAAAGAAAGAGAGAAGCAAGGGGAAGCACTTGCCTTTGAAGGGGCCCAGTACCCAGTGAAGCTGGCCCACTCTACTGGATCTGGCCTCTGTCTGTCACACACCTGAATTTCCACCATGAGAGGTTTCTGTTTCAGGTTCCTCTTCCACAGCACAAATGTACCCAAGGGAAGATGGAGCCATAACCACTAGCATCAGCTGAGCATCCACCACCCCGCAGGCACCACTCGAACATGTCTCGTGTGTCTACTGGGTGGTCAGCTCCTCAGGGCAGGCACTTTGTCTGTTTTCTGCTCTATCCCAGTGTCCAGAACGGTGCCAGGCACATAGTAGGCACTCAACATATACTCATTGACTGCATGAATTATCTCATAAGATGCTCACAAGCACCTGTGGGTTATATACACTCACCATCCCCATTGCAAAGGAAGGCACTAAGACTCAGAGAGCTAAGGGCAGAGTCTGTGATTTGCACCCAGGCAGAAGCTTCTGAGTCTGTGCTCAACAGGGTGGACAGGTGTAAAGCAGGAACAAGGGTGCAGGTGCAAGGTCAGCATGATGGTAGCTGCTGTAACAAATGACCACAAACCAGGTGGCTTTGAACAGGAGAAATTTATTCTTTAACAGTTCTGGAGGCCAGAAGTCTGAAATCAAGGTGTTGGCAGGGCCATGCTCCCTCCAAAGGTTCTAGGGAACATTCCAGTCCTTCCCTCTTCCAGCTTCCGTTGGCTCTGGGATTTCCTTGGCTTGTGGCTGCATCACTCCAATCTCTACGTCCGTCTCCACACAGGCTTCTTTCCCTCTGTGACTGTGTCTTCTCCTCTTCCATCTCTTACAAGGACACTGGTCACTGGGCTTGGGGCTCTTCTGAATAATCCAGGGTGACCTCATCTCAAGATCCTTAATCATATCTGCAAAGACCATTTTCCCAAATAAGGTCACATTCACAGGTTCTGGGGAGCACTGGGCACTGGGCTTCTTTCCCTGTCCTTTGCCATGTGGCCAGACCCACTTGGGACAATTCCAGGAGTGTGTGTCTCTCTCCTGAGCCCTCCAGACTAACCTCTCTGCACTCTGCCCACAGGTTTGCCAGGCACCGCTCCAGACCTGGAAAAGAGAAAGCAGATTTTTGGACAAAACTTTATACCTCCAAAGAAGCCAAAAACCTTCCTGCAGCTCGTGTGGGAAGCGCTGCAAGATGTGACGCTGATCATCCTGGAAATCGCCGCCATCATCTCCCTGGGGCTGTCCTTCTACCACCCACCTGGCGAGAGCAACGAAGGTAAGTCAGGGGCCCTCCCTGCAACATGCCTGCTGGGCCACACCAGAGGGCACTCAGGACTCACACTGACTGCTCCTTCCAGGTGAGGAACCAGGCCCAAAGACACCCACAGCCAATCAGTGGCTGAGATCCTGGGCTGAGGGCCCCGCCTCCAGTGTTCCTATATGTGAAATGCAAGGGCTGGGCCAACAACAGTAGTAATTACAGTGATCATTTATTGACCACTTACAGCATGCCAAGCTCTGGGCTAAGATGTTGTCCTCCTAACAGCCCATGAGGGAAGGTCCATGATTGTGCCCATTTTACAGACAAGGGAACCAAGACACAAAGAAGTGCATTAATTTGCTCATGGTCACCCAGGTAATGAAGAGTCGTTATGTTTTAATGAGTGGAGATCGTTAGAAAAACTGCTGCCCAGGCCCGTCCCTGAGAGACTCTGGTTCTGTTGGAAGGGGCCCAAGTGAGGGGGTGACTCCAGACGTATGTCCAGAGTGCTCTCTGAGGGCTCCCCACTCTCATACCTGAGGACACAGTCCCCAGATTGCTTGCCTAGTGTGCTGCATTCACACTCTTATTTGACAGTGCTTCATCCCCATTCACAGAGGTCCCTCTCAGATTCCCTGCCCACTGGGTGCTCCAGCTTCTGGAGGACCCTCCTTCAGCTTTAAAGCTGGGCTTCTCCTCAGAACCCCAAGTCACTCATTCACTGAGGCATGCAACTGTGAAAAAAATATATGCACCAAATATTCTAGAACTGGGATTGCAAATTACAGCCCACAGGCCAAATCGGACTTACTCTCCTGCTTTTGTATGACCCATGAGCTAAGATTGGTTTTTATATTTTTAATGGTTGAAAAAAGTAAAAATAATACTACTTTGTGACATGTAACTTTTATATGAAATTCATATTTCATTGTATAAAAATAAAGTTTTATTGGAACACCCCCATTTCTTTTTCATATTGTCTATGGCTGCTTTCCCACTACAATGACAGGCTCCAGTAGCTTCAACAAAGACTATATGACCCACAAAGCTTAAAATACTTGCTATCTGGCCCTTTATTTTTTTAAAGATTTTATTTATTTATTTTTAGAGAGGGGAAGGGAAGAAGAAAGAGAGGGAGAGAAATATCAATGTGTGGCTGCTTCTTTAGTGCCCCCTACTGAGGACCTGGCCCCCAACCCAAGCATGTGCCCTGACTGGGAATCCAACCATGACCATTTGGTTTGCAGTCCAGTGCTCAATCCACTGAGCCACACCAGCCAGGGCGCTATCTGGCCTTTTAGAGAGAAAGTTTGCCAACCTCTGTCCCAGAAGATGAGGATGGCAAGTTTTGCCTCAAGAAAACTGTTCTCCTTCTCCCTAACTCACTCCCCTCCAAGTGTGGAAGGAGAAAAAAATGGTTGAAGACACTTTCTGAAGAAGCCCCCTGGGTTAGAATCCTGTGTCCATCACGTCACAACTGTGTGACCTTAAGCAAATCACTTTCCTTCTCTCATCCTGTTTCCTCATTTACAAAACAGGGTAAGTGATTTACCCTGGAACGTTTATTATGAGGAGGTGATGAAAGGATGTGTGACCAGTGTCTGACAGCCTGGTACATGCAGGTGCCCAGTGGGTGTAGGCCCTGCTGGTCGTACATATAAGTCCTTTAGCTTCTCCATTTCCAATACTATTCTCAATCTCCCCCTGTCTATTTTGTGCCTACCAATTATGCTTCTTATTCCATGTACCTTTTCCCCCTATTCTCCCCGCTCCCCTTCCCCACTGATAACACTCCATGTGATCTCCATTTCTGTGGTTCTGTTCCTTTTCTAGTTATTTGCTTAGTTTGTTTTTGCTTTTGTTTTAGGTTCACTTGTTGATAGTTACAAGTTTTTTGTCCTTTTACTGTTCATAGTTCTGATCTTCTTTTTCTTAGATAAGTCCCTTTAACATTTCATATACTAAGGGAACAGTGATGATGAACTCCTTGAACTTGACCTTATCTGGGAAGCACTTTATCTGCCCTTCCAATCTAAATGAAAGCTTTGCTGGATAGAGCAATCTTGGATGTAGGTCCTTGCCTTTCATGACTTGGAATACTTCTTTCCAGCCCCTTCTTGCCTGCAAGATTTCTTTTGAGAAATCAGCTGATAGTCTTATGGGAACTCCTTTGTAGGTAACTGCCCCCTTTTCTCTTGCTGCTTTTAAGGCTATCTCCTTATATTTAATCTTGAGTGATTTAATTATGTTGTATCTTGGTGTGTTTCTCCTTGGATCCAACTTCTTTGGGACTCTGAGCTTCCTAGACTTGCAAGTCTATTTCCTTTGCCAAATTAGGGAAGTTCTCATTCATTATTTGCTCAAATAAGTTTTCCATTTCTTGTTCTCCTCTTCTTCTGGCACCCCTATGATTAGGATGTTGAGACATTTAAAGTTGTCCCAGAGACTCCTAAGCCTCTCCTCATTTTTTTGAATTCTTGTTTCTTCATTCTGTTCCAGTTGAATGTTTGTTTCTTTCTTCTGTTTCAAATCTTTGATTTGAGTCCCAGTTTCCTTCCCTTCACTCTTGGTTCTCTGTATATTTTTCTTTATTTCATTTTGTATAGCCTTCACTTCCTCTATTTTGTGACCACAGTCAACCATTTCTGTGAGCATCCTGATTACCAGTGTTTTGAACTCTGTGTCTGATAGGTTAGCTATCTCCTCATCTCTTAGTTCCTTTTCTGGGGTTTTGATCTATTCTTTCATTTGGGTCATATTCCTTTATCTTGGTGCCCCTGGTACTTAGTAAGGGGCTGAGCCTTAGGTTTTCACCACTGCAGGGCAACCCACTTTGTAGCATTGTGGTGCTGTCTGTGTGGTTCCCTCGGTCAGAGAGGCAACAGTCTCACCTGCTTGGCTCTTTCCCCGCTTTCAGTCACTTCCCTTGTTTCCCACAAGTGGATTGTGCCCTTTAAGGTGCTGATTCCCAGGTGGGTGAGCTTATGTATGTTCTAGGATCCTGTGGGCCCCTCCAACAAACTCTCCTGTGAGACTGGGAGTTTCTCCTGCCACTGTAGCCACCACAGGTTTTTATAGCCAGAGGCTTTGAGGTTTTAGTTTCCTGCACTGAAACCCTGGGTGCATGGTCTGTCTCACTCCCTAGTTGTTCCTCCCAGCTTATCTGTATGTGAATGTGGAATATCCTGGTCCGCCAGATGCCTCCTCGCCCAGTCCAGTCCACCAGCCGCTGCCTTGTCATGTGTCCTTGCCTCCCCAGCTTCCCGTCTCTGTCCCTCCTACCAGTTTGGATGAATGTTTCTTTAACACCTTCGTTGTGAGACTTCTAGACAGTTTGATTTTCTGGTAGTTCTGGTTGTTTTTTGTTTTTAAATTGGTTGTTATCCTTCTTTTGGTTGTGCGAGGAAGCAAAGCATATTTACCTATGCCTCCATCTTGACTGGAAGCTGTATTGATCCACTCAGTGTTTTCTAATGAATATGTGGCATTAACAGATTATCGTATGAGGTTTGCTGCTTCAGGCAAACAAATAAAAAAGGAATAACATATAAGAAATAACCATTTTGAGCCTCATTTCCCCATATGCAGATGTCGTCTCTCATGTTTCCTGAACACCTGTTCCCCCATCTCCTCCCAAACTAGAGTTGCCCAGGAAACCAAATAACCAAGTCTCTTAGGTGAACTGCCTCAATTTTATACATAATATTACTAAGTTGATTTCTTTTTCTGCACAACCTCTCTCTAAAAAGGGTTTAAAGACATAATATGAGGTCAGGTAGAAAGTCAGACAGAAAAGGGAATGGAAACAAATAAACCAACTATGTTGACACTTTGATTGGGATATAAAATTTTTTTTTGAGCTTCCTGACAGGCAAGGCAGAAAGGGAATTAGGATGATTTGCATATCTCAAGTTATCAACAAAGGAAAAACAGTTCTTTAGGAAGATAGCATGTCCCCGGACAATGAATTCTGGGACAAAATTTCACATAGGATATTATAAGAGATGAATAATGGGCAGCATTCTTTGCAGAAGTTTTACAGAAAATACAGAAAATTGTACATGGCTATTTGAATAAGCCTTGAACAGAGCTAAGGGTGCAACACAAAAACATAATAATTGTCCTTACTATTTTTATAGCCACCACTAGCTGAGAAGTTCATTTGATCCTCACAACAACCCTGTGGGTAGGTGTTGTCATTATCTAAGAAACCAAGGCCCTGCGATAGGAAACTGTGTGCTCCATCACACTCTAGGAAGCACAGAGCCATGAGTCAGACAGAGACATTCCGGCTTCTGAGCCTTCGCTTCTATCCTACAGAAAGGGATGAGGTTAACGCAGTGCCAGCTGAGAAAGTGACCTCATGTGACCCAATTCAGTGCGAGATTAGAATTCAGAGGGCAAGTGGTGGAAGGGGTGCAGTGGGAACACACATAGCGCTCTCAGTGTGTGCCAGGGAGAGCTTCCCCAGAGCCCTCCAGGCTGATGGCTGTGATCACCTTCATCATCAGGAGGTGGAAACCAAGGCCCAGAGTGGGGAAGGCCTTGCCTAAGGTCACACAGCTTGTACTCAGTAGGGGTGGATTTGAAACCTGAGTCTTCTGTTTCTTTTCACTGCCCCTCCCTGCCTCCAGCTTAGACACTAGTGCAGACCGCAGTCTGGGTTGATGAGGGTAGCAGTGCATGCTCTAGTCCTGCAGAGTGAATTCCTGAACTTTGCGATGGTACCTACACCTCCCTGACACCCAGACCCTGGCCTGAGCTCTAAGCTCTGAGCTCTGGATCAACCATGTTGCCAGGACCACCCCCATGCCAGACACAGGCTTCAGTAGTCATATAAAAAACGGTGCTGGCAATTGGCTAATAGGCTGTAGAGTTAGCACCCACAGCCCTTCCCTGTTTTCTTGCTCAGCTCAGAGATCTCCAGACACTTGTCAAGGTCACACAACATGTTTGTGGCAGGACTGGAGTTGGCACACCCCTGCTCCCAACTCTGCCCATGACAGCTACCTGAG